CCAAAATGAGCTTCCATTTCATGGAAATATCTGGCTTCCTGGAGAGCTGAACCCTAACAATCAATTGGCTGTCCCAGAAGAAGAAGCCAAAGCTAGCCTATCAGGTCTGTCTGCCTTACAAAAGCTTCACTTAGAACTCCTGCCCAGCTCTCAGACCGGAGGTTCCCCAGGATATGAACTGTAAAATAAGGCTTATGAGTTCATACACAAACCTAATACCTATGGTTCACATAATTAAATAACAACTTAGCTGCTAGAATAAAGTTAAATACTTGTTAAGGAATAAAACAAAATCCAACACTCAACAACATAAAATTCACAATGCCTACCACCCAATAAAAATTGAGAACCAATAATTGAATAAGCAAACCAGAATAAAATTAGGTCAATATGCAACCGAGAAATAACAGAGATGATGGTGTCATCAGACAAGGGCACTGAAACAGCTACCATATATACTCGTGTATAAGCCGAGTTTTTCAGCACATTTTTAATACAGTTTTTGTGATAAAATTAGGTGCCTCGGCTGATATTCGGGTTAGCTTATATTCAAGTATATACAGTATGCAAACTACATGGAGTATACTCAAGGAATTAAAGAAAAACATGAAAATAATGAGAGAAGTAGATGTGCTAGTTACATAATTTCATGTCAATTTGTTAAATAGGTTATAGGGGTGGAGTCTAGCCTGTCAATCAGGTCATAGCTAATCATGCCGCTGTATGGGCATGCTCTTCTCCTGAGGGTTCTGGGAACTCCTGTCTTCCTCCCAGGAGATGAGATATATACAGACTCTGTTTTGTCTCTGCTGACAAGTCACATGGAGCTATGCTGATAGAGCCAGAGCCTTGGAGCTGGAGGAGCCATGTGGAGACCCACACCAGTGCTGAGATGCTTCCACCATCACTGGATCCACAAGACTTTCCACCCACTAGCCTGTGATCTTCCTGCATTTGGCATCATTGCATGTGTTGTGTGAGTCTGAAGAGGAATTCATAGACTGGTTTCAGACATATGAGCTAATATCAGACTTATGCACTTGATCTGGACAGGCTGGAATGTTTCTTAATATACAATTACTCTTATATATAAAGCTCTTTGTTGTACACATAGGAACATCTGTGAATTTTGTTTCTCTATTTACCCAGACTAACACAGTAGAAGATAGACAAAAAGAGTTTTTAAAATGGAACTTGTAGAGAAAAAGAGACTATCTGAAATGGAAAAATCACTAGATGATATTAACAGCAATTTAGATAATATAGAAGAGATCAGTGAACTTGAAAATAGCAATGATCTGAGAATACAACAATAGAAACTACCTGCGTTGCTGTTAGGGGGCTTTGAGTCAGTTCCAGCTCATAGTGACAACAGAACCTACTATCCATAATAGATACAAAAATCACATCATTCCATCTGAATGCTCATGTAACGGAAATATTTTCAAAGGCAAAGTTATTAGATAGCCTATCCATATTTGCCTATCAAATGTTAATATAGTGAGTATTTGAAGACTATGTGATTTACTGACTCCAAACTGCCGGGATTTTTTTCTCAAGAGTCCTGCCACCATTAGTTAGGCCACACAAAAAAAATACCTATGTTCAAAGTTCAATTTCTCAAGAGAAACTATTGAACCATAGGCTGAGATAGCAAACAGCTAGATTCCAGGCTGAGGATCTGAGCAGGGAGCAGAGTGGCATTTATTAAAATTCTCTTAGTGTTCATAAAGAGTCTGTTTCCTGATCCTCATATTGGTCTCTGACCCAAATACTTACATTCTCATGGATATTAAAACACTACCTGGGGCTTCGGGCAAGATGGCGACTGAGCAACACATACCAGAGGGACACCGCAGAAATCAGTGCAGGAGAGTTACTAAGAGGGGAATTCCACACTCCTGGGTCACAGGAGAAGCATCATAAAGATAAGTAGGCACAGATCTACTAGGTTTTGAAGAGCTGGGGACTTTTGGCTTACCACAGTGGAGGCCGACCTTAGGCCTGCCACTGTCTCAGCCAGAGCCAGGATCATGTAGAGCCAGCCCAAGGGCTTTATCCAAACACAGCCACCACAGCCACAGATAGCCACTGCCTCTGGGCAGGGTTTAAACCCCTCCAGCCCCACAGTCAGGGATCAGGGTACAGCTATATTGTTACTTTTGTTTTCCTCTCTTCTGTCTTTCCCTCTACAGTCTCAGCGGGCTCAGTTTGGGGGTGTTTTTTCTTCTTTTTCTTTTCTCTTCCCTTTTCTCTCACATGCCACTGCTGACCGCCAGGCCACTCTCCTTAACCTAGGACATTTATGCCTGCCCTCGACCCAGCTGGGAGACTTCCACCCTCTGCATAACCTGAGGCTGGGGAAAGCCCGCTTACCTTCCTCCAGGGGAAATGCTGCCCACCTCCCTCTGGTGGAAATTCAGCCCGCCCGCCCTCTGCAGCACTTAACAAGTAGTTGGGAAATCCCACCCACCTTCTTCCAGGGGAAATCCTGCCTGCATGGCTGGGGGATCTCCTACCCATCCTCTGAGATCCCACATGACTGAGGGAACTTCCTCCCACCTGCTGTAGTACCTCACATGGCCTAAGGCAGCTAGGCCAACACTCGCCAATGCTCCATGCTGCTGTGGGAACCTCTGCCCCACCTCCACAATTACGCTCACCATTCACTGTGTTCTACAACAAAGCAGGCATACCCACCTGCCTTCTGTGGCACTCCAATTGCATCAGGCATCCCCTAACACCCTCTGCGGTGCCCCAAGATGCCAAGAGCCATAACATCATGGCTTCTTGTGAGGTCACCAAGCGCAGCACCATCCTCCCAGGTCCACAACCATTCAACAAGTGTCCCCTGAGAGGACCATCTAACTTTCCCTCCAACTAACAGAACACTGGTTGACTAGGGTTACAGTGAAGCCACAGGAGGACAAAGCGGTAGTCCAATTCCACAATTCAATTAGCTGCAGGTAGTTCAAAGAAGCATTCCTACGAGTGTCCAAGAGAGAGCCCAGTGCTATTCAACTCTGGAAAATGGTACATGGCTCCTCTAAAACAACACAATGCAAACAGAAATCAGCCCCAATGACCTCAACATACAAACAGGAGAAACAAAAGGCAATGTCATAAGCTGTCCTGAACCTAACAACGTGCATAGAAGAAACAGACACAGCAAGAAAATTATAGAATGCTGCTTGGAGTCATACAGGATATGAGGAAAACAATACAGAAAAAGGATGAAATGATAGAGGAGATAAAGACCATACACCAAAGGGAAATACAAGAGCATAGGGACAAGGTAACAAAGACCAGTAGCAGACTCACGGACTTGGCAACCAAATGGAGGAGGCAGAGAACCGCACCAGTGACCTAGAGGACAACCAAGCAGACTTTAACAAACGTGAACAAAAATCTAATAAGATCATCAGAGAAGCTGAAGAAAACCCAAGAGCTATGCCTGATGCTATGAATAGGAAAAACATCAGAATAATTGGATTACCAAAGGAAGACACAACAAAGAGGTCATCTGCAAAAATAGTGAGAGAATTCTTAGAGGAAAACTTCCCCAGCTTAATGAATGAAAGCCAGGCAACCATTCAGGAAGCTAAAAGAACACCAGATAGACTGAATCCCCAAAAAAAGTCACCAGGACACGTAATAGTTAAACTACCCAACTTT